TTCACTCAGTGAATCAGCCTCTGAACCTCATGGACTTGGTGGCCACTGTAATGTGTTCATCTGGCATTCTCATAGCATACTTTGCTGATGCACAACTTCATAACTTTGTAACAAGAAACAAAAACCTTAAACATGTTGGAAAACCCTTAGTTCCTATTCTAGACAAGGGCCTATGGTATTACTCAAGGCATCCAAACTACTTTGGGGAACAACTATGGTGGTGGGGCCTAGCTTTATATGCTTGGAGCATAGGATATGGATGGAGCTGCATAGGGACAATAGGTAATACCATGTGTTTGGTTTATGTGACTAAGCTTGTGGAAGATAGAATGATGAACCAAAAGTACAGAGCAGAGGCTTATAGGATGTATCAGAAGACAACCTCAATATGGGTTCCTTGGTTTAAGGCTTCTGATCCTTCAGGCGTAAAAAATAAGAATGCTTGATGTTTTTTTTTTTTTTTCCCGGTCCCTTCTTAGTGCTGCACTGCTGTGTGGTTTGTTCATTGTTTGTACAATAAGACAGTATATTGTTGGTATTTTTTACCCTTTGAATATATGGTTCTGTTTTGTTAATTTGGAGGGATTATTGGTCTGCGCTAGCCATGTATAAATTACCATGGTATTGAAATGAAATTCTTCATGCTTATTTGTGATGGATACTTTTTCTTCTTCTTGTATAAAATTGAAACAATATTTTATGAATTTTTTAAGGATTGTTTTATATTAAAGTCTCATGTGATGATATCTGAACTCTCATGACGCTCTGTAAATTCAAATCACTCTCTCTCTCTCTCTCTCTAAATTATAAGACCAAATGTATGAAGGATTAAACAATTACTGCATTAGAAGCTACAAATTAATCTATCTTTGGACATCTTAAAAGTCTTAGCAAAAGGGGATGAAAATGAAAAATAAATCTAATGGAAAGTAAATATATTAAAAATAAATTATTTCATGTTAATTAATGTGCGTATAGTATGTATATTTTTTTAGTATAATGAGACGAGATTTTGGAAGGAATAATTTTAATTTTTAATGAATGATGTAGTTTTTTATTTATTTTTTTCAAAATCTCTTGAAGATTTCACAATCTGATAATTGAAATGTCTTTTTTTTTAATTGTGTTTTAGATAAAATTATTATTGTAAATGTTAATTTGGGCTTTTGCCCCGTTGCTTACCAAACAAAATTGTTAATGTTAATTAATAGCAAAAAAATTGTTAATGTTAATTGTTAATTACCCCCCCGGGGGGGATCCCAGCGACCGGTTGACTCAATGGTCTCCGGCGGGCGGGAATATTCTGTGGCACAGACTTGATATAGATAATCATTTCGGGGGAAGTGAAAGTGGTGTTGATCAGTAACGAGAAACCAACGATCAAAACCTGACCTGCGATTTGTAGTTGATTAGCATCCATATTCAAATTCTGCCCCCAGCTGAACTAGCCAAAATTTCACCCAAATTTTCAAAAGCTGTTATGACTTGGAATAATAGAAATTCCTATGGGGGAAAGAGGGTGAGGAGTGGAAAGGGTTTCAACTTCATGGCGGCGATTATACTCTCTCTAGTTTGTTTACTTCCGATTTGCGTCTCCGCAGTGAATTTGCGGTTCGGAAGTAACGGCGAATTTAGGATATTGCAGGTGGCGGACATGCACTACGCAAATGGTAAAAGCACGCATTGTTTGGATGTGCTTCGTTCTCAGTATGCTTCTTGTTCTGACCTGAATACCACCGCTTTCATTCGAAGGATGATCCTTGCTGAGAAACCCGATCTAATTGTATTTACAGGTATTGATGAGTTATCCTATTTCAGTCTAATCTTGAGAGACAATATTACTGACCATCCATTCCAAGATTATATTCAGGAGGCCAGTAACCTAATCCAAAAGTATTGGTCTGTTAGTTTTAATTTTATTTATAGGGAGGCCAATGAATGTGCTAATTTTTTGGCTGGAAATTCTCGTGATCTTGTTTCCTTTCGGACTTTTGATCACCCACCACCTTACTGTTATAAGGTGGTGAAAGTGTTCTTTGTGATATTTTGTTCTTGTCTGTTTGTATTCAACTTCTGTTATTAATATAGATTACCCTCTTTATTAAAAAAAAATATTTGGGTTCTTTTTTCCTCGTGTTTCATCTGTATTCTGATCTTCACTTCTTACTTCAAATCACTTTATAAACAGCACCCAAGTTTTATAAGGTGATCCATCCCGCTACGACGTGTTAAACAGGCAATTACTTGTACTTGGGATAAAATATAAAGGGGAAAAAGATGGCAATAAAACGATTTTTGGACTTTTATTGCACCTCTGGCGGCCAAGTTTGTTTGGTTAAGCTAACTAATTATGCTCGAATTCTGGTATACAGGGGATAATATCTTTGGAAAAGATGCTGACGATTCGGCTAAATCACTGGATGCTGCATTTGCTCCTGCAATTGAATCTAACATACCTTGGGTTGCTGTTTTGGGAAACCATGACCAGGAAGGATCGCTCTCTAGAGAAGGGGTGATGAAACATATTGTTGGGTTGAAAAACACACTGTCTAAAGTCAATCCACCAGACGTAGACTTCATTGATGGTTTTGGGAATTATAACTTGGAGATCCGTGGGGTTGAGAACTCTGAACTTGGCAACAAGTCAGTTCTTAATCTTTACTTTCTTGACAGTGGAGATTACTCCACTGTCCCTTCTTTAATCTCTGGATATGGTTGGATCAAACCCTCACAACAACTTTGGTTCCAAAGAACGTCCGCAAAGCTTGAGGTGCTGTTCTATCTGGTCCATATATTCTATCCATCCTGTTTCTCTTTCGTTAAATAGCTGCTTACAGATGTGAATTTGTGTGGATTTTCATTTTTTATACTAAGAACTTGACTGATTCAGTTTTTTTCTTTTTTTGCTTGATGAAAACCTCTGACTAATTATTATCTTGGTTCTTCAGAGAGCATACAAGGATGAACCTGTGCCTCAGAAAACAGCTGCTCCTGGTCTTGCATACTTTCACATTCCTTTACCAGAATATGCTAGTTTCCACTCATCAAACTTCACAGGTGTGAAACAGGAGAAGATTGGCTCGGCTTCTGTCAATTCTGGCTTCTTCACAACCTTGGTTGAAACAGGAGATGTCAAGGCAGTCTTCACTGGCCATGATCATGTCAATGACTTCTGTGGTAAACTAAAAGGCATACAGCTCTGTTATGGTGGGGGATTTGGATATCATGCTTATGGAAAGGCTGGATGGTCGAGGAGAGCAAGAGTGGTAGTTGTTCGTTTGGATAAAACAGCGAATAGCAGTTGGGGAGATGTCAAGTCCATCAAAACATGGAAATGCCTTGATGATCAATATCTAACTAAAATTGATTCTCAGGTCTTGTGGAGAAAGAACTTTGGTCACAGGTAAGACAACTCAAGAATAACTGTAACTTTCTGGCTTGTTCTTTTTTTGTGATAAAGCTTAATTGGTCCTTAATCTCTGGAGACATTTATGAAGATAGACCTGCTGAACATGAATTTAATGCTCGTCTGTTTATACTTCATTTTTTGCATTTGACTAAATAAATGACACGAGAAGATCAATACCAGAAGAACTGGTGATTTGTATTCCTTAGGATAAGCCAGGTTGCATGGCAAACTCTATAGAACAAATGAGGAAAAAAGTTAATTACAAAAGTAAAGGAATATTTGGTACATCAAATTTGAAAGTTATAATGATTTGGTTCAAGACAAGGGGATAAGGAGATGAACGCTACATCAGTTTGACAACTGCCAAGCTTGCTTTCATACTGGAATAACTGCTGAAGCTGGTAACAATTTACTGTCATACCTGGAAATGCTAAACTGAAGTAAATGTGATGTCTGGTGGACATTTCTAGCCAAATTTTAAGGACTAATGTGATGCTAAATATGAAAACATAAAGTCATTCATGGATTAAACAATAAAGGGGATCATATGCTATTGCCAACAGAGGAGCAACTGCCGTAGGGTTGGTGTCAATAATTGAGAACACTAGTGATCTTCTATGGAATAGTATATTTTATCTGAGTATATTCGTGTCATACTCAAAGAACGGAACTGATTTCCCTTCTGCTTCGTATTAAAATTTTTGGATAAGAAGCGATTACTAGGTTTCTGATTCTAGCGCTGCTGCCCTATCAAGTTAATAATCAATGTCTGCAAACAAGGATCCAAGGTTCTGTTGGTGTTCCAATGTGGATACCGCATTGGCCCCGTCATAACATCAAAACTTCTTTTCATTCTCAACCTTAGGATTTGATAGTCTGCTTTCCGTTCTAGATTCCTAGAGTGCACATGTCACGTTGCATTATTTTTCATGCCATGTTCTGGAACTCAATTGTATATCTTGATTTTCGTTATAACAGGTAATCATAGGAGAAAACAAAGGGGCGGTTCATGGTTCTTTAGAATCGAGACGTTATTTTGGAAGTTGAGAGAGCAACAGCACAAGTTCTCTCTGAAAAATAAATGAAAGGAATGAAGTTCATTAAAATGGTGGGAGTGATTGTATTGCATGCTATGTAATTATAACTTTCCATATATACCTCAATGTAGAAACAGTGTATTTTATTTGAACTTTTGACCAATAGCCTTGGTGGAAACACCGCCTTTAGAATTTTGTGCGTGTTGATGCTTTGAGCAGTGCCTTGAGTGTAATACAAGATATCATTGATATTTGAGATAAGCATGCAATGCCCCTGTATACTTATAATTTGCGAAATAAATTTTGAATTATTAAAAATGAAGCGTCCAATATCTTTTCATTTATTTTCAACTAATGTCCATTTATTTCTTCTCTCTCCTTCCTTGACCCTCTCTTTCTCTCTCATCTGTTCCTTCCTCTGCCATTCTTCATTTGGTTTCCGCAACAACAAAAGTGCCAAGAGATTATGAGAATTTACAACGCAACAACAAGATGAACCAACACATGAAGGGTCAATAAGAGATTGAACCAAAACTCACATAAAAAATGTTGGAGGACTCACTAATGATGAAGCATCTCCCCAAAACCAAAAAAAGTTAAAATAGAGAATCAAAATTTTGAAAAGAAGCGAGATAAAGACATATGGAAAAGAAGTCAGAAAATTCTATTGCCGATGAATCGATCATTTTCTACTTTTCTATTTCTCTTCTCTATTCACATTCTTCGCTTAGGGGTTTTCTCAATCTCACCATGGCAGAAGACTCAATACTAGTGCCCTAATCTTTGTCTTCCTCATCTGCTCCTCTTTGATCTCCTTAGTCAACAAGTTTCAAGACATCTTCACTTGGGTTAAAAGCTTGTCCACCATCGATCTTCCCTAGGTCGCCATCATTGGGAGCCAGGGTAATGGCAAGTCTAGTGTCCTCAAAGATCTTGTCGACCACAACTTCTTGCCCAAGGGTAATGGTTTTTGCACTAGGAGGACTCTGGTGTTGTGGCTCATGCAAACTACAAGGAAGTTCGATGGCACTAAAGAGGAGTATGAGGAGTTCCTCCACTTGCCTGACAAGAGGTTCTATGATTTTTTTGAGATTTAAAGCGGAAGGCACAGAGAGAAGGTCAAGGAGGGAGAAAGAAGATGTAAATGGCCCCACGGTACAAAATAAACGAATGTTAGTTGAAAATAAATGGGAGATACTTGATGTTTTGTTTTGAATAGTTTAGGATTTATTTCACACCTTCTTATAATATAAGGTATCAATGGTTCTCGAAAAATAGTTCATGACTAAATTTACACTTTTATCTTTTATATATATATATATATATATATATCAAAATACAAGCTTGTATACTTAAGGAAGAAAAATTTGGCAATTATACTATGCTTAAAATAGTTTCTTCCAATTAAATTGAGGCATGCTTCCTTTTCTATCACCTGATTAACCTTTTTAGTTTTTTTAAATTAAAATTCACTTATTCTTGTTTAATGGAAAAGCGTAGTATTAAAAAAAAAAAAAGAAGAAGATATCTCCCTGACTCCATTATATTTGAAACCAAATAAATTGAAAATCAGATTTTTTAACACTTAGTGGAATGTCTTTTCAATCACATAAAGAGAAGTGGCTAGAGGATGACTATGCTAATGATATCACTTTGATCATTCAACAAGAATAGAGCAGTCCCCCCCCGGGGGGGGGTAGTGTTTAGAGGATGGTTCATAAATTCAAAAGTCATGTTATGTGATAAGCAACAAATTACTGATTTTGGACAATAGTAGTTTGAGGATGTACCAAAAAAGAAATCACAAACATCACTGAATCATGGTTCATCTACATTTTGTTCAAATAAAAACTACCAACAAATTAAGTCTAAAAAAACCTAGTTGTTGTTGTTGTTTTGTAATTAGAAAAAAATAGAAGAATTGAAAGTATATGTGGGTGCATATGATATAACATTGGCATGTCGTTAGAATTGAAAATACCTGGTAAAAAATTAGAGATTTAAATCCTTTGAAGATGAAATCTATAAATTTCTATGAAGTTTTCTTGTTGCAGTATTTTTTTTTATCATTTTATTACTTTTTATAAAATATAAAATATTTAGCTTAGTGCCATGTAACTTTCTTGTGAGTGAAAAATCGTGGGTTTAATCTTATTTGTAATTTCAAGCCGTTAGTGTCTATCCCTTAAATTCAAGAAAAGATTGGATTATGGTTTTTGCAATAACAAAAGCAAAAAAAAAAAAGCATAGGAATAATATAATTTTTTTGAATTTTTCAAATTACAAATGATTATTTTTTCCATTTATTTTGTTAAAAATCATATGAAAATATACCAAGTAGCAAGAAAATACGTAGTGTTTATCTTAAAAATGCTTTCATGTCACAGATAGATAAATGTAAAATAATATATTATTTTAAGAAAAATTACATTGCAATCCAATTATTGTGAACATATAATTTTATTATATTTTTATTGAAAAGTATATATTTCTTACATGAAAAATTAATATAGTAAATAAACTGTATATTTTCTTCGTTTAAAAATATAAAATATTTTTTGAAGGATTATATGTTAAAAAATATAAGTCATTTTTAATCTTTTGAAGCGTAATCACTGCATTTTTTTTAAAGTGTCTTTATTAAATAAATTATTTTATATTTATTTTAAAGTGAAATGTCCCATTAAATAGATGTAAATATCAAAAAATAAAGTTAGTTTAAAAATAAATAATTACTTTATTAAAAGTAAATTTTATTAAGAATGATTTAAATTTTTAAAGTAATTGAGTATAAAGTTGGAATTGGATTGAAAATAGTAAAATTTATTTAAATTTGATATTTTAAATCGTTTTTTCTGGCCAAAAAAGGCACAATCACTGCAGAGTTCCACATATGAAATGAAAATACAATAAGTCCCACCAATGTTAAAATTTATTTAAAGTCTCAAGTCACTTTAATGCAAATATGTTTTATATTCACTTACTACAATACCTTTATAGGCCTGCCACACCCAAATCAGTGGCTCTCACCCTTGAGCCCACCGTGAAGAAGATGCCCACAGGGTTTCGAACTCTGCGAGAGGTAAATTCACTTGAAAATAAAAAAAAAAAAAATTGTAATCTTGGACATTGTCTCTCTAGAGAATCGCATCCTTAGAAAGAAAAGTCTATTTGTCCCCTCTTTACATCCGTTCAATACCTAGTCCTACGGAAGAAAGCGAGTTAGAAACATCGCAAATTATTCTAAAAATCAGCAAAAGAAAACACAATAAATCATAAGTTCAAGAAAGAACTCCAGCTTATAGACTCTAGGCAACATCACTAGAAATAGAGGCAGAAATTGTGGCAAAAGTCTCTAGAAGTAATTGTGTACATTCTTAATGATAAATTAGAGTGATCATTAGAAACTCATTAACGTAGAAACATAAATACAAGATTGTGCCAAATTGTCATTACAATATTCAAAGGAAAAAAGCGCCAGAATGAATAAGAGAAATGTTTCACACCACATTCATGCTTCCACTATTGATCTCGAGCTCCATTAAAGGCTAAAGCTTCTCAAACATATGTGGATTTCTATACATTGAGCCTAGGGGAGCGTGCTTGTGTACAAAAACAACCCCATTTTTTGTTCATACTAAAAACATCAAATTCAACAAACCCATGTACAACAACATCGTAGAAATGTATACAACAAGGGCGCAAATAAAAGCATGCTTGTCATCTAAAAGCTGCCGACATAAGTCAAATATTGCTTGTGGACAAAGGAGTCAGCTTCGGCACCATCATTCAAAGGCATGACAAGGTTGAGAGGAAAGGGAAATCAAGCAAGCTCAGAGACAAAATGTTAGGTTTGCAATGTGCAAACCCAAAATTGGGAGGGATAAAGGTGTTGATGATGATAGAGTTCTTGAAGTTTTGCACTTCTCGTAGAGCTTGAAGCCCAGGAGCAATGTCTTCATCGGCAAGGTCAAGGGTGATTATGATTTGGGTGAGATGGGTGATATAGGGGTATTTTAGTGATTGAATACAAAAATATATTTAGGCCCTGTTTGATATCATGAAATTGGCTTATAAAAAATGGAATTAAGTTTTCAGTGGTTTGATATGCATCAATTCAAATTCTCTATGAAATTTAATTTTGCCAAAAAGCCTAGAATCCAATTCCACCATCATGATGATGGAATTGGACAAATTCTGTAAAATTGCCATCACTATCCTCCCTCATTTCCTTCATTATCTGCAAGTCTCAACCCCTCATTGCCATTGCCTATCCATCGTTGATGATGTCTTGGCCTCTAGAATCCTTCTTCTTGCTATCACGGTGACCATGGCCACCATTGATATTCCTTCCACCTTCGCAATCTCAACCACTATCAGATTTAGGCCCTTGATGTCATTACTTCATCACCTTTTAACCACCAATATCTCCTCCGCAACTTACTTCCTTGTTTTTCAATTTCATCTTCTCGACCTTCGATTCCATCATTCATCAGTGATTCAAGGTCTAGTTCCCACTATCGTTTGCGACAAACACAAACCCCCCTCATTCCTCCTCTCATATTGTATTGCATTTGGTTTTCTATTCTTTTTTCATTTTCGGTGGTTTTTAAGAATGGAGTTCCTAGTTTTGTAAAATTGGTTATTTGGACAAGGTAATCCAGATGGTAGCTATGATGATAGAGTGGTTGACGACGACTTGAAAACTGGAAAGGTTTTGGGTTTAATAGGAAATTTTTAAATTTTGTTAGGAGCATTTTTATCTTTTCATATTATAAATACAATTGTAAAATAAAAAATTATACAAGATTTCATGTGATACCAAATACTCCCTCCAGTCCTATTTATAAGTTATTTTTATCAACTTCGTCAATACCAATACAATAAAAATATAAGGAATAAAATTAAGTAAAATTTTAAATATACCCCTATATAACAAATCTAAAAAGTAACGTCTTATTATCTTTTATCTCTCATGAAGAGTAATTTTGAAAATACTTCTCAAATATTACCTAAAAAGATACACCATGATTTATAAATAAAATCAAATGAACCTTCTGAAATTGGACTTATAAATGAGATCAGAGGGAGTATACTTTTAAAATTCAATTTTAGTTTGATTTTAATTTTAATTTTAATTTCATTAAAAAAAATTTCATCGCACCAAACGAGACTTTACATTTTAGGGATTTGAAATTTTAAAGATATTTTAACATATGATGGGACTTTCTGGTAAATTCATTCCTTATGTGGGACTTTTGTAATAATTCTCCCAAAAACACTCGGTTTTCCAAAACCCTAACCTGCAAAACTGCCAGTCTGCCACTGCGTTACCCACCCACCCTTCCTCCTCCTCTAAGGTTGTCTTCTCATTGTCCTCCTTTCATATGAGCAGAGCTCAGCGAACCTGTGTTGAAGTAAAAGGAACCACATTTTTCGTCCTTTTCCGTTTACCTGCCTATTAATGTTTCTTCCGCCAGTCTGATTCCTAATCGTTTTTTCGCTTTAAGATTTGCTCTTATTCCCTTTTTTGGGTCGGTAGGTTTGGGTCCACTTGACAGCGTTTCTAGAATTTTTGGCTCCCCCTAAATTGGTAGCAATTTCCGCATCGTAGTGATCGATGGGTGGTAAGAGGAAAAAGAACAACGGGGATGGTGGTGAATCGTCCTTGCCTGATGGCGGCGAAGGGGATAAGAGCAACAAGAAAACAAAGATGGAAGTGCTTCCGTCGATGATCAAGAACAAGGAAAAGAGGTCGGCGGTGCACGTGAAGCTTAAGCACCAAAAGAAACTTGAGAAGCGTAAGAAGGCTAAGGTTCGAGAAGCTGCTGAGAAAAGAGCTCTCGAGCTAGGAGAGGAGGTTCCTTATTCTCTCATAAAGTCTTCTTTTTGTTTGCCCCTTTTTGAAGGTGGCGATTCTAGTATGTCTGGTGTGATTTTCGTTGTTGGTAGTGGGTTTTGACCGTTTTGCTTTATTTGGATTCCTACAGCCTCCGGAGAAGAAGGTGCCTCGTACTATTGAGAACACTAGGGAGGCCGATGAGACTGTTTGTAAGCCTGATGATGAAGAGGTCTTCCTTCTCTCTCTTTTTAACCTAGCGTTACTACTCCTTTCGTCTCGTTGTTATTAACTAATTTCTGCATCCTTTTCTAAATGTCTTTGTCTGATTGAAACTTGTAGTTTTTATTCCAAGTGGACATCTAGATTTTTATATCCACATACTTGGGATTAATGTCAAATTTCCTATTTTTACATCTGTGCATTAACAAATGCTGAATCATGTTATCTCCTACCAAAGCGGTTTTCCTTGATCACTTTAGGGGCAGTGGCAGGAAGAACGTTGTTTGCTAGAAAATAGAGTTGACACTTTAAGAAAATTGGGCTTTTTTAAAAAGAATGATGATAGATCAACTTAGGTGTCTCGTTGTTTGAATTTCCAGTTCTATTTAATCAGACACTGGTTGAGAGTTAAGGAGAATAGAATTTGGCTGCTAACTGCAAATTCTGCTTTGCAAGGAAATGAGCTGGGCGTCTGGATTTTGGAATTCTTATCAACACAGGAAAATAAGTCCATGTTTTTCCCTTACACATTTTGTGTTAGAATATCATTGGATGCTTTGAATATGAGTATAATATGTGTTTTAATTGAATAAGGCAATAAGCAAGGAGGAATTGTTTCTAGCGTCCAATTTTTTAAGTATATAATTGCTTCAAAATTTGTATATCTTGGTTTTAGAATATTTTGTTGCCATGTACTCCCTTTGTCCCCATGTATATAAAGGAGGAGGGTTGTGTTAGGCCATCAACAGCCAATGTAAAAATTTGTTGAATCTATCATGAACATGGACAATAGACGTTATAATGTTAATGCTAGGTCGTTGCCTGTAAGTAACGCGCTGCATGGCTCGAGTACAGTGATAAGTGAGTTAGAGCCGCTGCATCGGCGCCCGGATGTAGTGTTAAATGAGCAAGGGCTACCGCGTCATTCTGGACGCACGCGGCTAAAGAAGTTAGTCCATAAGAGCAAAATTAGATTTGGTACTTGGAACGTTGGGACATTAAATTGTAAATCTGTAGAGGTTGTAGGGGTTATGATTCAAAGGAAAATCAATATCCTTTGCTTGCAAGAAACAAAATGGCGTGGAGAAGAAGCTAAGGATATTCAAGGTTTCAAACTTTGGTATACAGGAAAAGTAAGTGCACGTAATGGAGTAGGCACCATTATAGATAAGGAGTGGAAGAAGAACATTGTAGAAGTTAGCAGAATTGGAGACAGAATTATTTCTTTAAAAATGATAATTGGACGTGAGACTGTTAATATTGTTAGCGCTTATGCGCCGCAAGTCGGGACAGAAGCCAGTCTTAAGGAATTATTTTGGGAGGATCTGGAGGGGTTGATTCGACACATACCACAGAGTGAAAAGATTTTTATTGGAGGAGACTTTAATGGGCATGTCGGGAGGGAAGCTGGTCAGTATGCGAGGGTGCATGGTGGTTTTGGTTTTGGAGAGCTAAACAATGAAGGGCAAACTCTTCTTGATTTCTCATTGGCGTATGATTTTAAGATTGCCAACACTTGTTTCAAGAAGAGAGATGAGCATCTCATCACCTACAAAAGTGGAGCCTCAAGGTCGCAGATTGATTTTCTTTTGGTTAGGAACACTGATAGAAAACTTTGTAAAAATTGTAAGGTGATCCCTGGAGATGCTGTAACGACACAACATAGGGTCCTAGTCCTTGATGTGTGTATTATGAGTAAAATCCAAAAACGTCGACAAGTAGTAACACCAAGGATTAGGTGTGGCAATTAAAAGGTGAGAAGCAAGATATTTTCAAGCGAAATTTTTTGGATAAAGGAATTTGGGATTCTCAGGGAAGTGCTAACATCATATGGGAGGATATGGCTAAAAAGATACGGGAGGTTGCAAAAGTAGTTTTGGGAGAATCGAAAGGTTCTGGTCCGAGAGATAAGGAGTCTTGGTGGTGGAATAATAGTGTACAGGACAAAATCAAGTATAAGAAGAACTGTTTTAAAGCCATACATTTGTGTAACAATGAGAAAAATTGGGAGAGGTACCGTATGGCTAAGAAGGAAACTAAGAGAGCTGTGGGTGAAGCTCGTTCTAAAGCTTTTGAAGAATTTTATAAGAACCTTGAGACGAAGGAAGGAGAGCAAAATATTTATAAGATTGCCAAGAGTAGGGAAAGAAAATCAAGAGATCTAGAACAGGTAAGGTGTATTAAGGATGAAGAGGGAAGAATTTTAGTTACAGATGATGAAATTAAAAATAGATGGGAGACTTATTTTTCTAAACTTTTCAATGATGGAGAGGATTCATCTAGTAATTTGGAGGATTTAGTAACTGGTGAAGGAGAACAAAATTTGTCATTCTATCGAAAAATACGTGATAAGGAGGTAAAGGAAGCTCTTAAGAAAATGGCAAATGGTAGAGCTAACGGACCTGATTGTATATCTATCGAAGCGTGGAAATGTTTAGGTGAAGAAGGAGTGAGATGGTTAACTAAGTTATTTAATGTGATTTTACGGTCCAAGAAAATGCCTGATGAGTAGAGGAGAAGTACATTAATTCCTATTTATAAAAATAAAGGAGATATTCAGAATTGTACTAACTATAGAGGGATTAAACTCATGAGCCACACAATGAAATTGTGGGAGAAAGTAATTGAGCACAGGTTGAGATTGGAGACAAGTATTTCTGAGAATCAATTTGGTTTTATGCCAGGTAGATCAACTACAGAGGCGATTTATCTACTAAGGGGATTAATGGAAAAGTATCGTTGTAAAGATAAAGATCTACACATGGTTTTTATTGATTTGGAAAAAGCTTATGACTGTATACCAAGAGAAGTGCTTTGGAAAGCGTTGGAAAAAAAGAGAGTACGGATTGCTTATATTAAAGCCATACAAGATATGTATGAGGGGGTAAAAACTAGTATAAGAACGCCTAGTGGTCAAACAAAGGATTTTCCTATAAAGATTGGGCTACATCAGGGATCATCTCTGAGTCCTTATTTGTTCAACTTGATTTTAAATGTTTTGACGGAACATATTCAAGAGGAAATCCCGAAATGTATGCTCTTCGCGGATGATATAGTTCTTATAGCAGAGACAAGAGAAGAGGTTAATTGCAAACTTGAGTTATGGAGGAGGACATTGGAGTCGAAAGGTTTTCGTCTGAGTAGAAGTAAGACGGAATATTTATATTGTAAATTTGATAAAGGACTATTCGAAAATAATTTGGAAGTGAAATTGGGAGATCAAATTATACCTCAAGTGGAAAAGTTTAGATATTTGGGAGCCATTATCCAAAATGATGGCGAAATCAGTGGAGATATTTCACATAGAATTCAAGCTGGGTGGTTTAATTGGAGAAAAGCTAAAGGAGTTATTTGTGACCGTAAGGTGCCTAATAAACTTAAAGGAAAGTTTTATCGTACTGCTATCAGACCGGCAATGTTATATAGTAGTGAATGTTGGGTTCTAATGGGACAGCAAGAGCATAAAGTTGGAGTAGCAGAGATGAGAATGTTACGATGGATGTGCGGACATACACGTAAAGATAAAATTCGAAATGAGCACATACGTGAAAAAGTGAGGGTGGCACCTATTGAGGAAAAAATGGTAGAAAATCGGTTGAGATGGTTTGGGCATGTACAAAGAAGACCAAGGGAGGCACCAGTGAGAAGAGTGGAACATATAACTTTGAGTCCGATTAAGAGAGGTAGAAGAAGGCCTAAGAGAACACTCTTGGAAGTTGTTGAACGTGATCTCTTAATTAATAATATTTCTAAAAGCTTAATAAATGATAGAGCACAATGGCGTCTTGCAATCCATGTAGCCGACCCCACCTAGTGGGATAAAGGCTTGTTGTTGTTGTTGTTGTTGTTGTTGTACTCCCTTTGTCCCAAATTACAGGACACTTTTGAAGGAGTTTTTCTGTCTCAAAATGTAAGACATTTTGGGTAGATTAGGATTTCATTAAATGCACTAATTTTAATATTACCTTTTCTCTCTCTATAATTAATTTATATCTCTTTTCTTTTTAATATATTAAATGATGGGTGTTTTTGAAAGCTTATATTTTTGTTTTGAATAGATAAGGTTGTTAAGTGTGTTTAAAGAGGTTTATTGGTATGTGAAATTTTGTCTAAAAGTGTCTTATAATTTGGAATGGATGGAGTATAATTTTTCGCATTCTCCATTTCAAACTGGAAAATGCCACTTGTTTGACTCATTTGTTATTACTGTTCATTTGCTTGCAGCTATTTGCTGGAAATGATTGTGATGAATTCAGTACAGTTTTAAAACGACAACAGACTCCCAAGATATTAATCACCACTTGCCGTTTCAATTCTACGGTATGTTTTCTTTATGCCTTTGTTTAGTATATTGACTGCATGCTCAGCATTCAAAGAATGTAAGAATATACATTTCTTCAATATAAACTTATTCTTAAACTTCTAGGAGCAGCATTTATGTAATGAAATTTTGTATGTGATTTCGTTTTTTTTTTTTGCTATCATGTTCTTACTTTAATTAGAATATGGTAATCTGCAGAGGGGGCCGGCTTTTATATCAGATTTACTTTCAGTTATACCAAATGCACATTATTACAAGAGAGGAACCTATGATTTAAAGAAGGTGCTGGTCTCAATTTTCATTGCCAATGAGAAACATGGAGCTTCATGCGTTTGAAAGTTTCTTTTTAATTTTACTTTGAATTGCAGATTGTAGAATATGCAAAGAACAAGGACTTCACATCTATTATAGTTGTTCACACAAATCGCCGGGAACCAGGTATTTGACGTCTTTGCTTTTTTTCTTTTTTTTAGGATTTAGTAACACATTTATCATCATTTATACATTTCTGTATTTTATTTTGGTTTTGAGGATCAAATGACCTCAATAGTAATTCTTGTTATTCTCTGTTTTTATGAATTGCAGATGCTCTATTAATCATTGGCATACCTGATGGGCCTACTGCACATTTCAAGCTTTCAAGGCTTGCTTTACGCAAAGATATCAAGGTTTGGTATTTGCTGTTTGTTTAGTAACTCGTACAACATTGTGTCTTTGGAATTCTGGATGATGTTGCTTTACATTTTACTTGTAAGTTATATTAATGAAGAGTAATAAAAATACGGGGCTGAGGGCATAGGAAAATACTTTGACTGGTTGGGTGAAAAGATGCGCATAATGAACTTGGGTTATTTATCTATTTTGTTCTGTGACTTATGTTGCCACTATTGGGTGAATTTGGCTTTACTTGGATAGGATTCCAATATTTATTTTCTTCAACTTACATTGGTACCTTTCATGGTTATATAAATTCACATTATATTAACAGCAAAGCTTGGTAGATGAATTTGCTTCTCCTTTTGGATTAACTGGATATGTTGATCAAATGAAAATTTAATCTACATTTGTTATTATTCTCTCTATCATCTGTAAATTCTTTTTCATCTGGAAAAAAAAGTTTAAAATGTCTATCTTTTGTAGTAAATGAAATTTTCCTATCCATATTTTTTTTACTTGCAGGGTCATGGAAATCCAACCAGTCACAAGCCTGAGCTAGTTCTAAATAACTTTACAACACGTCTAGGGCATCGAATTGGAAGGTTACCATTTTATCTTATTCTGGGCTCCATGGGTTGCTTGATTGACTCTGTTTCATTCGAACATTGTACACTATGGTTATGCCGGATTTAAAGAAAACTTAATGCTAGTTTTGTTTTCTTTTGTAAGGCACATTATAAAGGAGGGAAGAATAACTAGTAGGCTAGTTTTCCTGTTTTACTGATAATTCCATTGCATTTATTCTTGGCTTTTAACTCCGCCTATGTTTATAGCCGGTCCCAAGCCCGGGTAAAGGAGGAGGGTTGTGTTAGGCCATCAACAGCCAATGTAAAAATTTGTTGAATCTATCATGAACATGGACAATAGACGTTATAATGTTAATGCTAGGTCGTTGCCCGTAAGTAACGCGCTGCATGGCTCGAGTACAGTGATAAGTGAGTTAGAGCCGCTGCATCGGCGCCCGGATGTAGTGTTAAATGAGCAAGGGCTACCGTGTCATTCTGGACGCACGCGGCTAAAGAAGTTAGTCCATAAGAGCAAAATTAGATTTGGTACTTGGAATGTTGGGACATTAAATTGTAAATCTGTAGAGGTTGTAGGGGTTATGATTCAAAGGAAAATCAATATCCTTTGCTTGCAAGAAACAAAATGGCGTGGAGAAGGAGCTAAGGATATTCAAGGTTTCAAACTTTGGTATACAGGAAAAGTAAGTGCACGCAATGGAGTAGGCATCATTGTAGATAAGGAGTGGAAGAAGAACGTTGTAGAAGTTAGCAGAATTGGAGACAGAAGTATTTCTTTAAAAATGATAATTGGACGTGAGACTGTTAATATTGTTAGCGCTTATGCGCCGCAAGTTGGGACAGAAGCCAGTCTTAAGGAATTATTTTGGGAGGATCTGGAGGGGTTGATTCGACACATACCACAGAGTGAAAAGATTTTTATTGGAGGAGACTTTAATGGACATGTCGGGAGGGAAGCTGGTCAGTATGCGAGGGTGCATGGTGGTTTTGGTTTTGGAGAGCTAAACAATGAAGGGCAAACTCTTCTTGATTTCTCATTGACGTATGATTTTAAGATTGCCAACACTTGTTTCAAGAAGAGAGATGAGCATCTCATCACTTACAAAAGTGGAGCCTCAAGGTCGCAGATTGATTTTCTTTTGGTTAGGAACACAGATAGAAAACTTTGTAAAAATTGTAAGGTGATCCCTGGAGATGCTGTAACGACACAACATAGGGTTCTAGTCCTTGATGTGTGTATTATGAGTAAAATCCAAAAACGTCGACAAGTAGTAACACCAAAGATTAGGTGGTGGCAATTAAAAGGTGAGAAGCAAGATATTTTCAAGCGAAATCTTTTGGATAAAGGAATTTGGGATTCTCAGGGAAGTGCTAACATCATATGGGAGGATATGGCTAAAAAGATACGGGAGGTTGCAAAAGTAGTTTTGGGAGAATCGAAAGGTTCTGGTCCGAGAGATAAGGAGTCTTGGTGGTGGAATAATAGTGTACAGGACAAAATCAAGTATAAGAAGAACTGTTTTAAAGCCATACATTTGTGTAACAATGAGGAAAATTGGGAGAGGTACCGTATGGCTAAGAAGGAAACTAAGAGAGCTGTGGGTGAAGCTCGTTCCAAAGCTTTTGAAGAATTTTATAAGAACCTTGAGACGAAGGAAGGAGAGCAAAATATTTATAAAATTGCCAAGAGTAGGGAAAGAAAATCAAGAGATCTAGAACAGGTAAGGTGTATTAAGGATGAAGAGGGAAGAATTTTAGTTACAGATGATGAAATTAAAAATAGATGGGAGACTTATTTTTCTAAACTTTTCAATGATGGAGAAGATTCATCTAGTAACTTGGAGGATTTAGTAACTGGTGAAGGAGAACAAAATTTGTCATTCTATCGAAAAATACGTGATAAGGAGGTAAAGGAAGCTCTTAAGAAAATGGCAAATGGTAGAGCTAACGGACCTGATTGTATATCTATCGAAGCGTGGAAATGTTTAGGTGAAGAAGGGGTGAGATGGTTAACTAAGTTATTTAATGTGATTTTACGGTCCAAGAAAATGCCTGATGAGTGGAGGAGAAGTACATTAATTCCTATTTATAAAAATAAAGGAGATATTCAGAATTGTACTAACTATAGAGGGATTAAACTCATGAGCCACACAATGAAATTGTGGGAGAAAGTAATTGAGCACAGGTTGAGATTGGAGACAAGTATTTCTGAGAATCAATTTGGTTTTATGCCAGGTAGATCAACTACAGAGGCAATTTATCTACTAAGGGGATTAATGGAAAAGTATCGTTGTAAAGATAAAGATCTACACATGGTTTTTATTGATTTGGAAAAAGCTTATGACCGTATACCAAGAGAAGTGCTTTGGAAAGCGTTGGAAAAAAAGGGAGTACGGATTGCTTATATTAAAGCCATACAAGATATGTATGAGGGGGTAAAAACTAGTATAAGAACGCCTAGTGGTCAAACAAAGGATTTTCCTATAAAGATTGGACTACATCAGGGATCATCTCTGAGTCCTTATTTGTTCAACTTGATTTTAAATGTTTTGACGGAACATATTCAAGAGGAAATCCCGAAATGTATGCTCTTCGCGGATGATATAGTTCTTATAGCAGAGACAAGAGAAGAGGTTAATTGCAAACTTGAGTTATGGAGGAGGACATTGGAGTCGAAAGGTTTTCGTCTGAGTAGAAGTAAGACGGAATATTTATATTGTAAATTTGGTAAAGGACTATTCGAAAATAATTTGGAAGTGAAATTGGGAGATCAAATTATACCTCAAGTGGAAAAGTTTAGATATTTGGGAGCCATTATTCAAAATGATGGCGAAATCAGTGGAGATATTTCACATAGAATTCAAGCTGGGTGGTTTAATTGGAGAAAAGCTAAAGGAGTTATTTGTGACCGTAAGGTGCCTAATAAACTTAAAGGAAAGTTTTATCGTACTGCTATCAGACCGGCAATGTTATATAGTAGTGAATGTTGGGCTCTAACGGGACAGCAAGAGCATAAAGTTGGAGTAGCAGAGATGAGAATGTTACGATGGATGTGCGGACATACACGTAAAGATAAAATTCGAAATGAGCACATACGTGAAAAAGTGAGGGTGGCACCTATTGAGGAAAAAATGGTAGAAAATCGGTTGAGATGGTTTGGGCATGTACAAAGAAGACCAAGGGAGGCACCAGTGAGAAGAGTGGAACATATAACTTTGAGTCCGATTAAGAGAGGTAGAGGAAGGCCTAAGAGAACACTCTTGGAAGTTGTTGAACGTGATCTCTTAATTAATAATATTTCTAAAAGCTTAATAAATGATAGAGCACAATGGCGTCTTGCAATCCATGTAGCCGACCCCACCTAGTGGGATAAAGGCTTGTTGTTGTTGTTGTTGTTTTATTCTTGGCTTTTGCTTTTTCTAGAATAAATGATGGCATGAACTGGGGCCTTTCTTTCAACTCATAAGTCGTCAATTCTTTTCTTTGATAGGTTAATACAGTCACTTTTCCCCCAAGATCCAGAATTTAAAGGTAGACGAGTAGTCACTTTCCACAACCAGCGAGACTTCATCTTCTTCCGGCATCATCGGTATGCGTCCACAAGACTTGTATACTTTTTATTTTTTAGTTTTTTGACCAACACACAAGACTTGTATACTTAATCTATAATTTTATGCTTCTAATGGGCCCCCTTTTACTAGAGGACTGAACTATAATTGGAGGAGTAAGAAAGGGATAAAGGGGTGTGCCTGATCCAATCAAAGGAAATGAGATACTAGTCTGCACTGTGCCCTAAAAGGGGGAATGCAGAGTGCAGATTAAGGAGGGGAAGAGGAATTACATGTTGGAATAACTTACTGTGTCATGTGATGATTGTGTAATGGTGTGCTGCCAGGGATAGAAGGTCGGGTGGATAGACCTTGGAGGCTAGAGGAAGGTTGCATTCATTCCGTGAAGGATTTGTGAGAGAGAATCTAAGCCTCTCAAAAGCCAGGGCCTATATTGATGTTTTTCATTTTCTTTCTTTCTTTTGATATTACTATCTTGAGCTCTGTTTTACTGTTCTGCTTGTTTTCTGATCTGTACTCTTAATTTTACCTGTATCCTCATATTGGTTGGTTTGTCTCTGTTATTTTGGTTAGAGTAACGCCAGAAGAGCATAGGTCTATTAATTTCAATTCTTTATTGTATTAATTTTGTACTGTAGGTACATTTTTGAAAAAAAAGAAGTCAAGAAGGCTGACTCCAAGGCCAACAAGACCAAGGATTCCAAGGGGGAGGATGTTCCTCAAACTAAGACAATTGCCCGCCTTCAGGTTGGTTCCAGCTCTATTCTGTGGCTGGTTTTATACCTCAAACTAATCCACGAAAATTGTTATTTTAAGTGTTTTCATACTATGCAGTTAAATGCTTCTCATTGTTTTCTTAACTCACTGAGGACAAAAACAAAAGTTATCATAGGGACTGTGGTTGATCTGTTTGACTTCTCCTTTCTATGTTTGGACTGGGTATCGCGTCCATAACATAAGAATTAAAATGGCTTACATTACATGTCTATCTTACAAACGAGTTTCAGCAAAGGTTCTTTACACCTCGTAGCTGAGTGATGAACTCAACTCATTACTGGAGGGGAGTTGAATGGGAAGAGGGAGAGTTTCCATTTCATTGTTTTCAAGTTGAATGAAAAATGGATGGTAACACACTTCCCATTGTTAGGAAGTGAATGAATATTTTAATGATGATGGGCAAACCAGTAAATAGTAATTGAAAATATAATGGGACCTTATAAGGTCCAACTCCTCCCTTCGTCTTATTCATCTAATTTTTGCATCAATTGTACTCCCTCCAGTCCTATTTATAAGGCAGGGAGAGAGATTTTTTTGGCCCTCTTTAGAAGTCATGTTATTAAATTGTTGCACAAGTTTTCTCTTTTATCCTTCATTAAATGTTGGTGAAAGAAAATATGTATATTTAATGGAGGTAAAGTTGAAAAGTTATTAAATTTTTAGATATAATTAATGAGTTCTAAAGTTTTTCTTAGTTCTAGTAAAACATGTTAAAAGTGACTTATAAATGGAATCATAGAAATATATCATAAGGTCTCTAAACTTGGCAATAATTTGAATTTAAAACTGCAGGAATGTGGTCCTCGTTTCACATTGAAGTTGATGAGCCTGCAGCATGGAACGTTTGACAGCAAGGGTGGAGAATACGAGTGGGTTCACAAGGTAATGTACTTGTTAGCCAACTTCACAAGGTAATTTATGTGGCATTATCATCTTTCTAACAGCCCATATTTGCTCTGTTTTCTTTCTCTTTAGCCTGAAATGGACACAAGCCGTAGGAGGTTTTTCTTGTAACTGGATTGGAGCACTGCAATTCACTATTCAGACGTCGTTTTTCTGGGAAGAGGTGTCTTTTTGTTCAAGGGAACTGGTTATCGTGCGCATGGTGTTGCAATCTTTAGAAACAAAAGGGCTAATGCTATCTTAATCTGACATTATTTTTTGAATCAGAGTTCAATTTTGACTGCAGAGCATGTCGTGGGGGCATAGAAAAACTAAATTAGCTGAGAAAAATTCATGTTAGTTGTAATCCATAGCCTATTTACATTCTTTAAGTTACACCCCTTCTCTATGTTCTTTTGTAGTTTTGTTGTAAAATGGATTATTTGCTGTATTTGTTCACCTGCTCTTACATTTACATGACCAGCAAAAAATAAGAAATATAATTTTTTGACAAATAATATGTAATATTTTTTAAAGCAAGCGAAAAATATCTTGAACATTTTATAAATAGGATTGGAGGGAGTGAACCAAAGAGGAACAATATTTTTATTTTGACAAAAAAAAAAAAACAGGAGGAACCTAACCTGGAAAAGTATGGAGATATTCTTGAAGTAGCCGTTAAGAAAGCTAGTGGTGGAAGTTAAGAAAGCTTGCTTGAAAGGTACATAGCGATGAGTCCCACTTTATGCCAAAAAGACTTATTTTGGTGTCATGCTTCTACAGGCTCATCATTATCCTCTTGTATCCTTCTGTACACCCCATTGAGTCCTGTTCTTTGGACGCCTAGTGTAGCATCGCATCTACGTATTGTACTAAAGTATTGATATCGGGATTGATCATTAGATTAGTTAAAATACTGGTTTAAAAATCAACGGTAAAAAGTTGTCAAATCTGGTCATGAAAAACAAAATGTTATTGAACCACTTATGGAATTGGTTCAATAGTTCAACCAAACAGGTTGGTCTAGATTTCAATATCATGCATTCATATGGTCTAGATTTCAATATCATGCATCCATACCTTCCCTTTCCTCACCACTGTGTATGTGTGTGTAATTAATTCGTTTCTTCAGATATCTTGATGTCGCCACTTTGGATTCGATATGGATGGGTTAACTGGAGAAGCATTGAAGAATCTTCAACTTTACTCATTGCATGCGTAAAGCTGGTAATTTTTTTTCTTAAAATTAGAGGCTTAAAATATACTCTTCTAATTCTCTTTATAAGTTATTTTTATTAACATTATCAATACCAATACAAAAAAATATAAAGAATAAAAGTGTATAGAATTTTAGATATGTCTTAATATAATAAATTTAAAAAGTGATGTCATGTTATTTTTTTTATTAAAAAATTTTTAAAAATACTTTGCAATTATTATTACTTAAAAAGTTGCACCACAAAATGACTAAATGAGAAGAACGTAGGCAACAAGTAAATGGAGAGATCCCTCTCCCATTTAGGAAATTAGAAAATAAAAATATGTGAAATATTTTTATAAAAGAAATCTATGAAGTATTTCTCGAGTCTTCTTTATAAGTTATTTTTACCAATCTCATCAATGTCAATGCAAGAAAAGTATAAGAAATAAAAGTGTATAAAATCTTAAATATGTCCCTATATAAAAATCTAAAAAGTGATGTTATATTATTTTTTTGCTTTTATGAAGGGTAATTTTAAAAATAATTTTTAAATATTACCTAAAAAGTTGTATCATGACTTATAAATGAGAGTAGAGGGAGTATTTATTTGAAGGAGATAGACAATAAAAAATTATATATTTGTTGGCCTAAAATATAAGTTATATATATTTTCATTTTAAAAAATTCCCTTTAAATAAAACATTTTAATAGTTTCAAATTCTTTTAAATTTACGCTCAATTTTTTTTTTCATCGCAGTTTTATAATCATATTTGGGGGTTATTTTTATTCTGTCAAGAGAGATGAACGTAATTGGGGTCATTGTCTAAATACGAGCAATATTTATATCAAAATTCACACTGCTCCATCTTCAAATATAAGAAAAACAATCATATATTTTTTTTACTATAAGAAAAATTAAAAATTTGAAAAAGTATTAATCACATTTTTCTCAAATTTTCCCTCATAAATGGATAATATTATTAAATTAAAAGGAAAAGGTAAATATTAATTACAAGAATATTTTATTCATGTTAATTTTAAATATAATTATTATGATTAATCAATTTTTTAAAATTATAAGAGTCGTGATGGAAGATTGGAGGAATTATGGATAGGAGTATAGATAAAAAACATTTTAGGGACAACATTTTTCAATTTTTTTTTATAGCGGGGCGAAACGTGGGACCGACCCAGAGAGAAGAAAGAGAGAGATGAAGTGAGAAGTCGGCAGGCAATTGTAGTGGATTGCGTGTGCAAAATGATATTTATTTGTGTTCAGTTCACTGCTAATTCAACGAATAGTGACGCGACACCGACATACCCCACATCAGACCTAATCACATGTCATGTTTATGGATTTTTTTTCAAAAAATTACATTTAACTAACTTAACCCTTCTATGTAAGAAATGACGCCTCATACGCCTTGTACACGTAGCAGATTTGAACTCAAAATTTCTTCCCCAAAAAAAAAAAAAACAAAAGAAAGAAAGATAACGTCGTTCCTGGGACAAGTAACAATTATGAACTATGAAAAATGGAGAGTAGAGACCAAATAAGTGAAATTTTTAGAGGAAGGATTCCAAAATCTGCATGCATATGAGCCTTGAGACATCTTCGAGAATCTGTATTGCATTGAATATGGTTCCTGAAGTTTAGTTGTAAATTTGGAATACACCTTCAAAAAACTTTGAATGTTTGGTACTTCATCTGCAAATTTTTCACTGGTTTAGTGCTTAATTATCCCAAAAATGGGAAAAAATTTACTTACTTAACAGTTTTTTTTTAATGACAAAAATTTTTACTAATGATTTATTAAAGAAATTGGCTCGTGACATTGAAAGTGAAAATTATCGTGTAGGAGACGAATTCTAACTAACCAAACCAAATTGGAATTTGGAACACATGAAGCAGAGTTTAACTAACCAAACCAACTTTTGGGCAAGTTCAAACAAATGGCTTGCCAGTGATTGCCTTCCACGCACATGCATGTGCAACGATTTATCCGAATCCCTCTTTTGACTCGTTGATCTATTTTGGACCAATCACAGTTCTTGATTTTTGTCCCCTCTTTACTTGTGATTGTGACTCTTGATGACATTCTTTTTCCACTTCACGTCATGGGATTTGGAATACTTTTCAATTACTACTACGTCCTTAACTAACCTATTAGCCCATTGCCACTCTTTCATTCATTTACTACAGTCAAATTAATATTTACAACCAGGGCCAGTAGGAACTGTGGAGTGTGGACCCCTATGCTATAAAATTTTACTTTATAAGTAGCTCAAATTTTGTTAATGAATAATGTTAAAATTAATTTTAGGCCCCTTACTTTTAGATGAATTTTCAGTTGTGACCCCCTACATGATTATTACTGAATTCATCCCCGTTTACCGTTCTCGTTCACAAGAAGATGGCGTTATCACCAAACCAGCTATTCGTTCCATATCTTTCTTTTACAAGATATACTCCTCAGTTTGAAATTAGAAATGGTAAAATAATAAATTAACCCTTAAATTATAAACACACTATCTAAATTCATTTTCTATGCGACATTTTTCTTTAAGTTTTAGAAATAATATAATTTAATTTTTATCATTAATAAAAGTTAACTTTGACAAATAACTAATTAAAAAATGACATGAAAAAGAACAGGAAAATGACTAAAAAATTATAATAAAATATTTAAAAATATTATAGATAATGGCTCAACAGATTAAAAAAACTAAAAAAATTGATCATTACATCAAATATTTTCTTCAATTATTTTGCATAACATATCAGTAATTGCTTGACCAGAATTCCCATTCCTTCAAGATAAACACAAGTTCGAAATATGAAATTTTTAAATTATCAAACGCCAATTATGAGTGGCACAGCGGTCGTTATCTCCTTCACCCCTTGTCCCTTCTGTTTGTTCACAAAGAATAAATTTATTTTATGCTATTTATGATAAACTAAATACTTCTTTTATATAATTTAAAACGAATTGAAATTTGTATTAATTATAAATAATTTATTTTTTAATCCCCTATACTTTATATTGATTTAAGACTCATTTAACATATTAAATAAATAAAATAAAGATATTTTTCTAATGATAAAAAATATTCTACTTATGATCATCTTTGTAAAAAAAAATAATAATGCGTACTAATATTTGTCCAAATGATAACAAATACTCCCTTCGTTAAAAAATATAAGAGGTTGAATATTAAAAAATATAAGATATTTTTAGTCTTTTAAGGTATAATTATTGTCTTTTTTTAAAAGTGCCTCTATTAAATAAATCAATTCATATTTATTTTAATATGAAATGTCTTATTAAATAAGGATAAATATAAAAAGATAAAATTAGTTTAAAGACAAGTAACTATTTTATTGAAGGTGAGATTTAATTAAAAATATCTTATATTTTTTAACGGAAGGAGTATTGAAAATGAAAATGATGTATTCAAAGAATTGTTGGGAATATTTCATCCTCAATATTTTTCAAATGGAGTAAAATTATATTATATATAATAATATTTATGAAACTTAAAGCATAGATGAGTGTAAAGTGAGGGAACTAGTTTTAGTGACAAACATTGAGAACTCATGCCTCTAAACCATTTAAATTTAATTTTATTATATATATTTATACTCCTTCTGTTAAAAAATATAAGGTATTTTTAATTGAATTTTACCTCCCAACAAAGTAGTTATATATTTTTAAACTAATCCTATCTTTTCATATTTATTCTTATTAAACATCCTATGATAAATATAAAGTTATTATTAATAGGAACACTTTTAAAAAAGATAATGATTACATCTCGAAAGATTAAAAATACTTTATATTTTTTAATATCTAACTTTTTAAAAAATGTCTTACATTTTTAAACGAAAGGAGTAGTTTTTTAATGAGTGTTTTTTAAATAATTTTTTATTCAAATTATATCTAAATGATTTAGATTTTATGTATCCATTAGAATATTTTTTTAATAAAATAAAAATAAAAACTATAAATTTAAACCATCCAAATTATATCTCAATGATTTAGAGCTGATGAGTTAACAGTGTTCGTCTATTAAAATAAATTTAAAATTCTATACAGTGAGCAATGATCTGTAAAATGATGTGTATAGATAATGATTAAAGTTTAATCTTTTCAATATAATGAACAACTTATTGTGACAAGCAATATTGAATCCAATAAATAAGAAAGGGAGAGCCCGTCACTCGGGGTGTTCAGTCTGGACCCGTCTCGATTGGTCCGGTATCATCCCGATC